AACACACACACACACACACACTCACACTCAGATACACATACACACACACTCTCTCAGATACACACCCTACATGCACTACATGCACACATACACACACACACACACACACACACACACACACACACACACACACACATAATAAATCGGTGTAAAGTGTAAATACAACACAAGCCGATGAAACGCATTGTGTGTGAAAATCAGAAATGTGCTGCACGTTTGAGTCACACAGAACATTAAATCATACTAAACTACAAAATCATGAACAGAGACGTCAAAGAAAACAGCCTTTACAATGTTCATCAAAAAATGATACAGTTCAGTACAGGTTTTTTAATGTCATCATTGGTTCCAAGAAGAACGTTTAACATCCATCGAACCTTACTATTCCACAAAAGTTCCTTGGTGAAACAAAATGGTTCTTCTGTGGAATCAGTGCAAAAAAAAAAAACTTTTGGAAGCTTTATTTTCAAGAGTGTAACTATAATCATTACAGTTAATACTTATCAAGTGTAGCAGGTTCTAAATATAGATCAGATGTTTATGAACCTGGTTCAGTTTTCATTCTGGCACTGCTTTTATGTTCAGACTTCAGTTTTTTGACATTTAAGGTTCTGCTTTAGGATCTGATTTTCTCATGTAATGTTTTATACATTTTCATTTTTTTTTTTCATGTTTACACTGAAATTGTTTATTATTTGATTTGTCAGGAATAATGTGAGTTTAAAGAAGTTGTGATTCCTGCATGATAATTATTTGAAATAGTCAGATATTTGACTGACTGATGTTTGTTACATGTTTTGAATTAAATTTTTTAAGTTCATACAATTTATATTTATTCCATAACTAAAATGTGTATTAGTGAGTCGTTTTAGAGGTCAAAGGTCACATGTATAACAGCTTGATTAATTTGAGTGGTTTAACAGATGTTGGTTTATGTAGTTCATTTGTTTGTTTAGTTCAGTGGATGAACATCTGTTTGGTTTAAGATGATTTTAAGCAGCTGTGACAGTGAGTTTAGTGGTCAGATGTTGATTTTCTCCTGATTCAGAAGGATCTGTGCGATTGCTGGTCTGAATGCGGGCTGATCTGAACTTCCTTTTCCACACCGCAGCTGTGCACTGCTGTGGTTAACGTAACCTATAGTGTCGGATGGCTCAAGCAGGTCATCGCCTTTAAACGGGTGAAACACAAACCTCACGCTTGACTTCAAAACTCCTGCTGGTCATCTGATCATCAAAAGAACTCACAGAACAGAGCTGAAAAATACTGCAGTCATTTCACTTGAAGTATTATTCTGGAGTATACTTTGTTTGAGTGCAATTTAAACGGAATACTTAAATTTCTGCAGAAAAAAGCAGTATGTTTTAGTCATTAGAGTTTTATTTCTACTTGAAAAGTACGTGTTTTACTTTTGCAGTGTTTTGAGGTTTGGCGGTCAGTCGTTATTATCGAATAGGTTTTTTATTAAGGTTTGTTATTTATCCAATCAAAAAAGTGCAACCGTAAGTCACAGTAACAGTATTGCTAAAACTACAATTCAAAGAATCCATAAAGAAATCATTTTTAAAAATAGCACATATAAACCTTTCAAGATAGCCCTTTCATGCTCAATATGGCTTATGTTTTAACATCGAGACATAACAATTGTCCACTACATTGCTCATGAAAATATAATCAGTTACATAATTTATATTATAATACAATCAAGTTTTCTTCAGTGAGAATTGATCATAAAACTGTATTTTGATAACCACCATTAAATGTTTTTATTAAATGTGATCAATCTTGAAAACGGTTTAGTGTTGAAATGTGCATACTACTACTACTGTTACTATTACTATTACTATTACTAATTAAATGTTAAATTCATTGAAAATGCTTCATGTTTACTGATGTTCTTGCCAGGCTGTGGATTAGTGCTATTATAATTACATTACAGTTAATAAACATAATATCAATTAACAATTAATATAATTAATCGCAATTAATTTCATATCAATATTTGCAGAGAAAAATGACCAAATGCCCCAAATAAACATTTGAAAGACATTCATTATTATTGCAGACAAATGCACTGAACTGATGTCACAAACAGTGACTTCAGAAGTTGAAATTTTATGTTTTAATTCTATATCACTCATCATAAGTTCATCACTACTGAGCGACTGACTTTGTCCATATTTCAAAGGTGATTTAGGGTTTTTTGAAACTCGTTCTTCTGTTTTGCGTCACATCTCAGTGTTTAAGGGCCGTTCACTACAATGTGTTTGACAGTTTCACTGTTCTGCTTTGTTGTTCTATATAAACATGCACTACACAGATGTTTTTGATCTGTGTACTGTTGTATTTTTTTTTTCCCCCTTAACCAACCCTTTCTGTGTATTTCTGTCTGACAAAAACTGTTACACAATTCATTCACTTTGCATTGAGAAAATGATTCAACGGGAATTTCATGGCTCTTGTGTTCATTATGTTACTTCTACTTTCTTAATACTTAAGTACAATTTGATGCTGTATTTTTTTAAACTTTTAGTTAAGTATCTTTTGGCCAGATACTTGGACTTTTAACAAAGTAAATTTTTCTCTCGGTATCCATACTTAAGTACTGTATACGTGAGTACAGATATAGCAGAAACACAGTGAAATACTAAAGGTATACATGATATAATGCAAGACAAACTAAATATTATATATGTGCTCTTTTATTTTTATTTGTATTTGCAATGAGCTTCAGAGTTTCTGTAACATGTGAGGCTCATCTAAATGGGTAAAAAACAGGTTAAATTCTGTTCTTCTGTTACAATATTGCAATACAATTCAAATACACACATTAAATATAATGTTAGATTAAGATGAAAAAGTAAAATAAATATGAGCGGATTTGGGTAACAGATTTCGCGTGAATGAAGCAATCATTCAGTTTGTTGAATGTGAAACAAATGTTTTAATCAAAGAAAAATATTGTTTAATAATTTTTATTAACATAATCAAACCAGTCAACAACTACTCAAACACTTCTATATGTGTAAAAACTAGAAAATAGAATGTGATTATTTATTTATGGATATCTCTTAAATGTTAATTTCTTCATAAAATATATGTATGCACTACCGCTGAAAGGTTTGGGATCCGTTTTAAAAAAAGAAATGAATACTTTTATTCATTAAGGATCCATTATGTTGATCAAAAGTGACAGTAAATACATTTATAATGTTACAAAAATTTCTGTCTATTCATCAAAGAATCCTGAAAAAAATATAAATGTATCACAGTTTCCACAACATTCCACAATCCAAATTTCTTGAGCAGCAAATCAGCATATTAGAATGATTTCTGAAGGATCATGTGACACTGAAGACTGGAGTAATGATGCTGAAAATTCAGTTTTGATCACAGGAATAAATTATATTTTACAATATAATCACATAGAAAACAGTTATTTGAAATGAGAATAATATTTCACAATATTGTTGTTTTTCTCAGAAACATACAATGTGTGTGTGTGTGTGTGTGTGCGTGTGTGTGTGTGTGTAAATAAATGCTTGATATGTATATGTAAATGCACTAGTTCTGCCAGATGACCGAGTTATAATAAGCATCTGTCAGGTGTGACATATTTGAGTTCACAGAATAAAAAACACATTTTATGGAAGCGTAACAACAGCGGTACATTTCAGCATTTCATGTGTAATTTTATAGAATTTTATAGCGTGTTCCTTGAAATTATGTTTTTCAAACTGTATTTTCCATTGTGTCTCGTAATTTCATTCACTGAACTATTAAAGGAGTGACTCTGACTGTAAACACAGCTCATTTTGCCCACTGAATGAAAACACTTTCCACAACATCAGCAGTCTGATGAAAAACAACCTTCAGTAGCGGAATCTCAGTTCCTTCACAACAGACACGTCTATTCAGAAAAGTGGCATAAAGTTTAATTGGGAACTGAAGATTCTTCAAGACGCTCAAGAAAGTCAAACTAGACAAGCTGAAGCTGACATTGAAGTAGAAACAAAAAAACAAAAAAAAACACACAAAAAAACAGATCTGATGGTCTGCAATATTAAAATTTAAATATGTTTATTCTAATAATATTATGTATATATTCTAATAATAGTATGTTTGAATTTTTGTATGATTCTCCAAAACTTCGACATTTGATCTGAATAGAAATAAAACAAAAATAAATAATAATAAAAATATATAACATGTACTCATATCCTAAAAGAATAAGATAGACTGTAGATACATGCTATTTATAGAATAAAATGCCATCAGTGTGTGTGTATGTGTGTTTCTTTCATCTGTGTTTGTGGAAAAACATCAGCAAAGCAAAATGGCTCAGGATGTTCATATCACACAATATTATGACACAACTGGAGTGTGTTAGTGAAACACACTAATGATCATGAGTGGAAACAGTGAATCCAGTAACACATGAACACTGATCTGATGTGAGATCAGCAGAATCCTCCAGTGTTTCCGCTGGAGATTTACTGGAGATTCACACGGACAGAATCAACGACTGAATCAGTTCACTGTCACACGACACTCAGCTTCTGTCCTGAGAGTTATAAAACACATAAACCTCAAAATAAACTTAACACATTTAACACTTATTTAAACATTAAATATAATTTACAGAATTGATCAATTGTTTGTTAATTTGCTTTTGACTGTAAAGCTGCTTTTAAAAACAGAAGCAGTTTTTTTTTTAGGTTTTATTTTAGATTCAGCGCTTAGAAGCAAAAGTTTGTTCTGATGTTTCAGCATTTCTAATAAATGATAAATGCTCAAATTGTCAAAATTTGATAACTGAAACTTTTAGCATGTGATGATTTAATTTAAGGTCATTGACATTGCTGGATAGCTTATATATTTGTCAAATTGTTTCTATTTGTACAGCGCTTTTCACAATTTGTGCTTCGAAGCAGCTTTAGATTCAGTCATGTAATCTTTGTAATATTATTAGTTGTTATGAAATATATACAATCAAACCAAATAAAACCAGTCTAAATTTGTGGAGAGATTTTCATTTGTGTTCTGGATAAAATGTTTGTTGCATTACAGAAATATGTACTTGTTCTGTAAATACTAGTAAAATCTAGAAGAATGCTAATTTTACAAAAAATATATGTATTTTAAAACATTTTGCACTGTTCATGTATTGTCCAATTCTCATCAGATAATAAAATATACTAATATACTAATAAATAAACTTTTTTTACTGCTATGTCAGCAGCAAAACTATCTTCAAGGTGATAACAAAAGGAATAACAGCAGTCTGTCATACAATAACAAAAGCTATATAAGAAATTTAAGATTAATACAAGACAAAAATTCTAAAATACATTCAGGTGATTATTGTTTTTTTTTTTTTTAAACATCAGTTAACATTATTATTATTATAAACAAAACGTGACAATTTGTCATTTTCATACTTATGATGTTGACTGTATTTCGATCTGTATAACCAGCGTTTGTTCTTTAATTCCATATAATCACATTTAAAAGGTATTCTTAATAATAATTACATTTGAGTCACTTGACATATTCGATAGGGAGTGAAACGAAGACAGATGCCACACCGACGTGGCCTGCGAGTGAGAACACAACACTAGTGAGCCGAGGTCAGATCACCAGTGAACAGTGTTCGAGTTCATGAGGCCAAAGACCAAACACTGAATTAGACTTAAATATTTGTGTTCTGTGCTGATTTTCTGAGAGGATCTTGAATCTTTTGACAGAAGGAAACGCTCGACTCCACAGAAACCTTGATAAAGATGGCGGCCTTCCCTCAACTCCAGACTGAGTGCAGTGGATATGTCTGGTCTCTGATCAGCTCAACACTCACAAACAGAGCGATGTGTGACTCTTACCTGACACAGGTGTGATGGACAGCAGGATGATCACAGCGGATGCTGCTCTTGGTGCCATCATTATCCGTCTGTCTGTCTGACAGGCCGCAGCTTTGAGATGCGTGCGTATGTGTGTGTGTTTGACTCAATGACACTGTGACTTCAGTGAAGCTCGAGATCTGCTCTCTGACAGGAAGTGGCTCCTCAAGCTCCACCTGTACATACAGACACAACCCATCTACTGAACACTGATGACAAACACACACACTCACTCAAACACACGCACAAATACACACACTCACGGCCTACTCACTCAACCACACACACACACACTCATGGCTACTCACTCTCCGAAAAATATGAGTGATTAGTTTTTACAATCGCTAGGACACTTTTGTCAATACATAGATCACTTTTTCAAAACTCTTCACACAGTGAGCACAACAACAGTATTTGGGTAAAACTGTGGATCATTTATTGTTTTGGGACAAAATGCATTCAATGACTAAATTTTTTCAAATTAAATGAATTCTTTTCACATGCAGACACAAACACTATCAAAACTCTACATACATACAGGCCAATTTACACATTTACATACTCTTTTCAAAACTTTTAAACCAAAGTTTAAAGCCTAACCTAATAAAAAAAAGAAGACAGCAATTTACATTTCTCCAGTAATGCTGAATAATTCTGAAATGCATTCTGAATAAAAAAAAAAAATTAAATACTATCAAAACCACTAGATTTAGCTGAACAACTACACATTAAATTACCTTCTCTACAAAACGCAAATCAGGGAAAAAAAATTACTGTAATGTAACATACTGCAGTGAGTTCTAAACAGAAGAGAGTGTAATTCTTGCTTTGTAATGAAATTTTACATAAGAAAACATTATATAATGCTCCCCGTTGATAGTGTTTTTAGGTCATTGTTCTATGAGTGACAAAGTGATGTTTGTTGGGTTATAACCTGTGCTAGTGTTTTGGAAGAATAGCTTGACTTGAGACATGTATAGTGTTTAGCTAGTTTTGGTGCATTTTGAAAGTGAAATTCACTGCTGTGCCAAGATGAAAGACGGTTAGGAGAACTGTGTGAAGAGTTTTGAAAAAGTGACCCAAGTATTGAGAAATTTGACCTAGAAATTATATATAAAACTAACAGAACGAGAAAAGTCACACAGGATTAGATGAACAATTCAATCTAAAATCAGATCTTTATTTCACTGCACAACATTATATAATGCTCCCCGTTGATAGTGTTTTTAGGTCATTGTTCTATGAGTGACAAAGTGATGTTTGTTGGGTTATAACCTGTGCTAGTGTTTTGGAAGAATAGCTTGACTTGAGACATGTATAGTGTTTAGCTAGTTTTGGTGCATTTTGAAAGTGAAATTCACTGCTGTGCCAAGATGAAAGACGGTTAGGAGAACTGTGTGAAGAGTTTTGAAAAAGTGACCTAAGTATTGAGAAATTTGACCTAGAAATTATATATAAAACTAACAGAACGAGAGAAGTCACACAGAATTAGATGAACAATTCAATCTAAAATCAGATCTTTATTTCACTGCACACACTGCAATATGACAACCAGATACTTATTAAAAATATACAACAGCATTAGAAGAATAATCACTCTGGGTAAATAACGTTGGACTGACATCTCTGTGATGTTATAGAGCTGGAAGGTGTCAGCTGTGTGTAAAAACACTGATCGATTATAAAATATGAGCAAAATGAGCCTAGATGCAAAACATCACGTGACGTGACATTCATATTTCCTGCTACAAAGATCAGAGGTTGGAGGTCAGGGGTCAGAGCCAAATTAAACATCTATAACTAAGTGATACATGTGAATCTCACAAGACTTTCCTAAGATTTAAATCAGAATGTAGCGATGAATTTGTATTTGGTGAGAATCTGCAAACATTCAAATGAAAAAGCATGTGCAAACTGCAAAAATGTTTCTTAAGCATGTTACAAAATGCTTACAAAAAATGTAGTAACTAGATTTTCACATCATGTTCCATGAATGTTATGAAGAAATTAAAATGTGATTAATATGTCTCACACACACACACACACACGTCACAATGCTACAAGATTCAAACAGCATCAACCTGAGAAACATTCATCGAGTCTCTTCGGAAACGTTCCATCAGTGATTTTGATCCAGTTCATCACGATTACTGTGTCACTTCCTGCTGACACACACACACACACACACACACTTTGGTCACATGACATTCAGCATAGCATCTGCTTCTGACTGATAACAGCTGCACTCATAGCTGACACGTATACATATATGACATATAATACAAACCAATATATTCAGTATTACTTTGCTGGTGAAATAAATCTAAGAACACAATTGAATGTGTTTGTGAGAGCATTCCAATGTTTACAGATGTTTAACAACTGACTCTCATTTCAAATTCAGCAGAAACTTAATTTAAACTATTTCAGTGAATCAATTCTAAACTTTGATTCAATAAATTGTTCACTCAGAAATGTCCAATCTGCCCACTCCAAAACAAAAAGGGTTTTTAATGTATTTTACTTCTTGCCTTAAATATTTTGTTGCCTACAGTGACTGTTTGCTTGAAATGAAGCTTCCTCTGAACAACTGGGTCATTTTGACCCAGACATGACTTTTTTTCCCCCTGAAAATGCTAGTTAAAGGGCTCATATGATGCACTTTCATGTTTTACTTTTTCTTTAGTGTGTTTTGTAGCTGTTTGTATATGTATACGATCTGCAAAGTTACAAAGCTCAAATTCTCCCACAAAAAGATTTTTTCTATCTAAAAGAGAAGGCTTGATTGACACCTGCCGAAAACACCTTGATCACATTCTCCCCCACATATCTACATAACTATCCCACACCACTGCCCAAATGGATACGCAAAGAAAGAAGGCGTGGCTTCAGGTATTGCAGTAGTGTTGTTGTCACCATGTTGTGGAGTAAAATAAAAAATATACTTATATAAAACTACTATATATAAAAAAATACTTTACAATTATATGACACAATTAGCAATCAGTGGTTAAGGTTTATTTACAAAACTGTTCCAAAACAGTACAACCCAAGTGTTTGAGTGTGTGCAGCACATTTTACGGAGGACAGTTTCCTGAACCTGGGAGATTTACAAGGCCGGATGTGAAAAGGTTGTTTCTAAAATATATGGTAATTGCAACTTTGCTAAGACAATCTGGTGCCATTAAAAATGACTGGCGCACAAAAATCACTCAGAAATCTCTCATTATGCTACAGCTGCAATCAAAATTATTCAACGCACTTGACCTGCAAGACATTTTGCTGCAGAGAACAAAATTTTATAAAAAACATTTCAACAAAGGCATCAGTAAACTATTATAGAAAGTTTACACATTTGAGTGATTCTGAGAACGTACAGTTGATGAAAATCCAATGTTGTGCAAAATCTTTTATTCTTTGTAACCTCCAATAAACGCTGCCTGTTAGAATCTTCTGCCACTTCTCTACTGCAATCTTGGCCCATTCCTTGCTTGAAAAAGTTCCAAGATCACTGATAATCTTTGGTTTCTGTGTTGCCACTGTTTTCTTCAAATTCCACCAAATATTTTCAGTAAGATTTAAATCTGAAGACTGAACAGGCCACTCAAGAACATTCTATGACCGATCCCTGAAGCAAGTTTCAGTAAATTTGGATGTGTACTTTGGGATGGCTGGACTGCAAGAAAGTCGATTGATCATCAAGCTTCAGTCACTGCACCGAAGACATCACAATCTTTGCCAAAATGGCCTGGTACTTCAAAGAATCCAAGTCCTTCATACAGTTAAGATTTCCACTTCCTGCAACACCAAAACATCCCCATAACAAGACTGGTCCACCTCCATGTTTGACCATGGAGATGGTGTTCTTCTGCTTATAAGCTTTTTGCATCAGACAAACCACTGATCCATGCATCCAAAAAGTTCCAGTTTGGTCACATCACTCCATAAAACACTGTTTCAGTGGTGTTTCAGTTCCAACTCCACAGGTCTATCCAAATTAATTTTAGCACATTCAAGTCGGCCTTTTAAGTTCTTCTTGGTAAAGAGTGGCATATGGCGAGGTGTCCCGACATGAAGGCCATGCTTCTCTAGCGTTCTTCTTATATTCTGCATTGAAATGTTTTTTCCTCCTTTCATCAGATCATCTTGCAAGTCTTTGGCTGTACATTGAGGGCTTTTCTCAGTTGCTCTGATCAAACATTTTATTCCCCTTGATGATATTGTGCTTTTTCTTCAACACCCTCAAAGGTTTTCTGTTACAACACATTTTAAATTTCTGAATTAGGCTGCCAACTGTGTCTCTAGGAACTTTTGGTGCCTTCTTGCAGCCATAGACCATCTAACTTAATAAAGCAGTTGATTCTCTATAGCTTTTGTGAGAGCTTTTTTGACTTGGCCATATTTGCTACTCAACTTTAGCAAATACATAGGCTAAATGTATGCATGTATAACAGTTCAAGCTAATACAGTTTTGTTATAGTGTTTCCAAAGGCTTGATTTGTGTTTTAACAAATTTTCTACCATAACATACTAATATTAATAAGCAGCGTTTAATAGGGGTTGAATAAATATGACAAAATATTTTTAATTACAAAAAAATTCCGTACCTCAAAAATATTACATGTTGACATTATCATCATTAATAGCCACTAAATTGTTATAGATGCATTTATTAAAATAAAATTTAAAAAAACTCTGGATCTTCAGAAAAGCTTACATTTGTAAATTACTATGGTCTTTGGGGGGGGTTGAATAATTTTGATTGCAACTGATTATTATTAGAAAAGCTTGGATTTTTCCAATCAGCACAGGTTTTGTATTTCTATTTGGGACTGATAGATCATAGACATCATTAATTTGAGTTTATGCATTTCAGCTTTTATTATCCATAAATAGTGTTTTTTTATTCAAAAACTGAATACTGCCAAAATTATCCACAAATAATGTTTTTGTTCAAAAACTGAATGAATCAGTTCCAAATAGAAACACAAAACATGTCCTAAATGAAAGTTGACAAAAAAGATTGAATCCAATATTTGGTGATCATAATGAGAATGATTTACAAGCAATTTCTAAAAGGTTGGTCATTTTTGATGAGAAAACTAAATTTTCAGCACAGCACAAGGATTAAATGATTTCAGAACAAATACACATGTAAGTTCAATGCCTTGTTCATGTTGACTGAATATAACTGAATCATATAACTGAAGCTCAATCGCGTCTGACAGACTCACCGGAATGTTTCCATTATGGAGTGGATCTGTAATATTCCTCAGGTGTCACGGTTTTTACTCCACCGAAGTAATCGAGCACCCAAACCTGTGTGATATTCATCTTGGCAAAGAACCAGTTGTGGTCGGTGGGCCAGTCGATCATCTCTGGATGTCTGCTGAACAGAGCGGCTTTAGCCACTGACGCCTCGCTGCCGTTCACCTGCAAAACAGATTCACTGCTGACCGTCACACAATCACTGATTCAGATTGGACTCGACTGAAATAAGATGAAGAGGTGTGAGACCTCCATGACAGAGCCGGACAGCATGATGTGGGCACACAGTGGACTCTGAGGATCGAATCCATGATTCTTACAGTAGCTGGTCTGAGCCAGAGACACAGACAGAGATGCCTGCGGATTCACCTGTTACACACACACACACATACAGAGCTCAACTTTCAGTGTTTTTGTTTAAACTTCAGCCACACAGTTCTGTTGAATGTTAGAGCTGATAAACTAAAAGCGTTGTGTCGCATCCTATCAGTTGTGTGCTGAATCACGCTGACGTCACACTTACATAAAACTGTATCAGCGTTACATATTCATGTGTTGTTTTAATTTGTATGTTGCGTGTCATATTACAGATCACAAGTCAAACTAACTTTAAACACAATTTACCACGATCTCATACAGTAATGCCAGTTTAAAGCAAGACACTACAGACAAAACTAGTGTTTTCATGCATTTTGAGATTTTGGTGTATTTTGCTTCCATATAACATGTCTTCTTTCAGACTAGTGGAAAGAAAACATCCAAAAAACACATTTAAGTGTTTCCTTTATTGCACTTTATCTATTTGCATCTGTATATTTCAATTGCAATCCATATATTTTAAAGAGTTTTTCTCTTACATACACCAAACTTTATAGTTTTATTCCTCTCTATATTCTGAAGGCTTTTACAGAGGGGTTTGTTCATATATCATTCACACTGATTTATACAACATTTTATTCCTAAAAACATGGTGCAAATGTATTTGTTTTCTGTCTGTTTACATATTTTCTGATTTATGGAGTGATAAAAAGAGAAATCCAAAATCCCCTCTGGAAAAAACCTAACTCTTAATATGTCAACAACTCTAATTATGTCAACACACTCATGTTAACATGTTAACTCTGTCAACAAAATCAAACAAGAACTTTGAACCTGGTTTTATCCCATGTTTAAATTTATGTTCTGGAAATGCATGCAAAGTAGTGTTACTATAGTAAAAAACATGGTAAATATTCGTTAAGGTTCTGTAACTCTATTACAGAAGTGTCTGAGCTCGTGTCAGTCTCCATTGATCAGTACTGATTAGCACCTGCAGGTCCTGGACTGAAATCTCCATGTGTGTGAGGTACATGTAGGGTGTTCCGGTTCCGTTGCCCGCGGGCCCGTCGCTGATGGAGAAGGCGTTGGAGAACGGCTGTCCTCTGACTGGATCGTGAGTAGAGATCGTCGCCATTTTTCTGATTTATGGAGTGATAAAAAGAGAAATCCAAAATCCCCTCTGGAAAAAACCTAACTCTTAATATGTCAACAACTCTAATTATGTCAACACACTCATGTTAACATGTTAACTCTGTCAACAAAATCAAACAAGAACTTTGAACCTGGTTTTATCCCATGTTTAAATTTATGTTCTGGAAATGCATGCAAAGTAGTGTTACTATAGTAAAAAACATGGTAAATATTCGTTAAGGTTCTGTAACTCTATTACATAAGTGTCTGAGCTCGTGTCAGTCTCCATTGATCAGTACTGATTAGCACCTGCAGGTCCTGGACTGAAATCCAGGTGTTCCGGTTCCGTTGCCCGCGGGCCCGTCGCTGATGGAGAAGGCGTTGGAGAACGGCTGTCCTCTGACTGGATCGTGAGTAGAGATCGTCGCCATTGAAGCCCAATCACACTTATTGACTACGAACCGAGCCATCCGAGCGACCTCCTCATGCGGCGGGACCGACAGCGGGACGCTGTGAGCGGCGACGAGCGCGAGGCACACCGCGAAGAGCGCGCGATTCATGACTGACTTCTGCGAATGACCGGAAACTAATGAATCAAATGAGCCACTGATCACTGTAAACCAAGCACAAACGATTCATACGATCATAGAGTCATAACTGATCAATGTGAACTCTGAACACAAATGATTCATATGATCACAGAGTCATAACTCATGACTGACCGACCACTGCGAACTACCCGGACACTACTAAATCAAATGAGCACAGAGTCACTGATCACTAATATCACCGACCACGAATCATTTGATCACACGAGTCATGAGTGTCCTCCACAACAAATTGTCACATGATCAAAACAGCTGTCATGTGACTTCAACACAACACGTGGTTGAAGAAAAATCCAAACCGCAAACAAGTTATTAAACCTGTGGAAGAAATCATGATTAAAGCATCATGAAGCAACTCTATTTGATTAACCTACATTTAACTCTCTATTCATATTTTAATAACTTTCTAAAACTACTCAATATTTAAACATATGCACTGACATACATGTAAAGCTCTGCTAAAATTTGTAACTTATTATAATTTGTAACTTATTTTGACTTAACCTAACCCAACCCTCTGAAAATAAACAAATAAATAACAAATAGATAAATAAAAAAATATAACTTTATGTTGCCCTCATCAAATTCAAGATACTGAAATTAACAAATATAGTCATAAACATTACAAATATTAGTAATATAAACACGTTTGTAAGTAAATAGCTTTTTAAATGACTTTATTCCACAATTTTATTCAACTCTTAAATCTTAAAAACAAAAAAGTTTTGAAATGCACTCATAAGACTCACTCGAATTGATCATTTGCAATATAATAAAAAATTCAAAGAGCTGATTAGCCACCAACTCATTTGCACAGGTGAATTTGAATTAAAATCAATTAAGCTCTAGTATAAAACACAATGCTCTTAGATAAGAATCAAAGATCTTCACTGTTTGTTCATTGGTTGTGTTTATCAGGTAAGTTTAAGTTGTTCTGGTGTTTGTTTATTATCGAAGTCATTTTTTTACTCCGAGTTTAGTTACTTTATTGCATTTTAACTACCTAAATTTTTGAATTTCTGTAATATGAAGTAGGCCTACTTGGTTGTTTTCGGTTAGTTATGTGGAGATGTACTGATCTGTTTGCTTGCTTGTCTAGTTTTTATTTTAAACCATTTTCTAGAGTTCTTCGTCATGTCTGGTCGCGGTAAGAAGATCGTTGCTGCATCAGAGAGCAAGCCGTCTGTGTCGCGTTCGGCCCGCGCGGGCCTTCAGTTCCCGGTTGGCCGCATCGCGCGTCTCCTGCGGAAGGGAAACTACGCTGCGCGCATCGGCTCCGGGGCGGCGGTGTATCTAACTGCGGTTATCGAGTATCTGTGCGCGGAGGTGCTGGAGCTGGCGGGAAACGCAAGCCGCGACAACAAGAAGCTGCGCATCGCGCCGCGTCACATCCAGCTGGCGGTGCGCAACGACGAAGAGCTGAACACGCTGCTGGGCGGCGTCACGATCTCGGAGGGCGGCGTGCTGCCGAACATCCAGGCGCAGCTGCTGCCCAAGAAGACCAAAGGTCCGCGGGACCCGAACACCAGCAAAGAAGTCCAGTCACAGGACTTCTGATGCTGGGACTCTATTTTTAGCACTTGACTGTGGATGGGTTTTTAATTTAATAAAAATATAATCTTTAATGGTTTTAGGAACTAAGTTACTGTTTGACCTGCATCACACCTTCTACAGGCTTTCTGAAGTCCCACATGAAATCTTAAAGGGTTACTCCACCCCAAAATGAAAGTTGTCATTAATCACTTACTCCCATGTCGTTCCAAAACCGTAAAAGCTTCGTTCGTCTTCGGAACACAATTTAAAGGGGTCATATGACACGATTTAAATTTCCTTTCTCTTTGGAGTGTTACAAGCTCTTGGTGCATAAATAAGATCTGTAAAGTTGCGACGACTCAAATCCAAAGAGATATTCTTTATAAAAGTTAAGAGTCAACCACGCCTACCTAAAACGGCTCGTTCTAACACGCCCCAACATACCTAAGTCGTTCTGTGGGAAGACTTGCATAACGCCGCCCAAATGTTCACGCAAAGAAAGAAGGCGTAACTTTTATTCTCGCTGTAGTATTGTTGCCGCCGCCATGTCGTGAAGACGCTGTGTATTTCGTTGTGAAAGC